CATCCTTTTCGTCTTTTCTTCCGTCTCATGGAATGAACTGCCTCCTGCACCACCATAATGTTATCAATACTCAACCTTGTGGATGTCGGAATCCGCAATACAAATTTTATGATGTGTATCGGATCGTCTAGCCTTGCTAATTCGAACAACAATCGTAAGAAGAAAACAAGAGAGTAAAATGTGTGTATCTGTTTATTGCTCAAGAAAATTTCCTCCCCCAATACAATGGTTTTCGTTTCCTATTTATAATTACATGATTTGAAACCGAAGTCGCTCATCAAGCCGCAGATCTCGCCTCCATTATTGCTTCCGTTTCGAATCTTCCCGATCTCGCATATCCCGTGCAACCCGCCTTTCATTTAACTCGTGGGATCCCGCCGTTTTACTCGAACTGGGCTTGAACTTATTGGGCCGCTCTTTTCGTCCCCTGGATCGGGCCGACGGCCCACTTCGTCTTATTGATCCACTATCTTTCCGGGCCGGATCCGAACTGCGGGATCCGACACCAACAGTTTGCCCCCCAAGTGTTCCGAAGTATTCACTTCGGGATACTTTAAATAACAAACTCTTCTCGGGCTCGGAGATTTCGTCATTAATTCCGCTTTCCCCGGGATTTGGTTCCTCGACCGAAGTGACGTTTCGAGATCTTAGGATATAAATTTTCCCGCGGATCGAGGGATTCTTCTCGGGATGAGGGCGGCGTTTCGAGTTCCTAGGGTTTCCATATTCCCGCCAGAGATTCCTATTAATACTTGTTTGGACTCTTCGGGTTCTGCACAACCGCTTCAAGTTCGCTCATACTTCGTCGTCTGCTTATTTAAGGTACCGAACCTTCTCCTCTTTTTTCTCTTAACACTCTTCCGATTACGCTTAGTTCTTGCTATTTAGTTCCGGATTCGTGTTAGTTCACCGCTCTAGATTAGTTCCGTGCTAGATTTAGGCCAGAGATCTAAAAGATTTCTTAGATTTTCAGCCCTATGCTCCGAAATTGTTCGCTGTTCTTCAACTCCTCCGCCGTGTTCTTGATATTCCGTTGAATCGCAACCGTTTTCCGAAGAACATCAACCGCTTAATCTTTCCGGTTTCTGGGTTTTCACGAAATCTTCGAAGTTTGCTCAAGCGTGTTCTTGAGCTGTTCTTGAAATATCTTCCCAAATCCCTGGCGCCAGATCTTGTTTAGTCTCTACATCTTCCTTAATTACGTTATGGCTCCGAAGCGAAGCAGGAAGATCCAGAATGAGACTCACATCATGTAAGGCGAGTTCGGGAAGTATTTTTCTTCAAATCTCGACAATAAAAAGCTGGCTCTGCTGAAAGGTGCCTGCCAGATCCCTCGTCGAGTCTCCTTGATTACTCCGGGTCCGACAGATTCTCCGGAGTCTCCACCTACCGGTCACACTTGCGCTTTTGAAATTTTCTTTTCGGAATGCGGGCTATCTTTTCCGCTTCCCGGCCTTTTGGTCGAATTGATGCACGAGCTCGGAATCGCACTTCCTCAACTATGTCCAAATGTAGTTAGGACCGTCCTGTGCCTCCAGACCCTTGCAGAGGAAAATGGATACCGTATCACGCTATCCGACGTACTCCATCTTTATACAGTAAAGAAGGGGCGAACTCCGGGGACGTTTTTCCTCAGTCCTCGGAGTAATTTCAGAGTCTTCGGGGATTTTCCCGAAAAGGACGAGCAATGGAGAAAGTCCTACTTCTTCTTCGCTGTAGACGAATTTTCTTATGGTCCAAACACGGATTATTTCGTTCGTGAATGGACTCGTCGTCCCGGTAGATAGCTCCTTAGGTTTTTCACTGCTTTTCACTCGTCTTTTTTTTCCTTTCTAATCCGTCAATATTTTTGCTTTTGCAGCTAAACTTCCGAAGAAAACGCTTTCTCATACTTTTGCGGGGCAATTCGTAAAGATTTGCAATAGCAGCGACCTGTCGTGGGAATTGTTCACTTGCGAACGCATCCGGAGTTCGTGTGCTCGAATTGTCTCGCGATCCGACCTCATTTCCTCCACTCCTCCCTCCTCCCCTACTGTCGCCACTAACATGTCTCCACTTTCCTACCGCGAAGAGAAGAGGCTCCAAAAGGAAAGGGAAAAAGCGAGAGAAGCGAGAGAGAAAGAAGATAAGGCCAGGATGGTGAAGGCCTTGGATGAAGGGAAGTCCAGATCTTCATCTGGTAAAGGGAAGAACTCGGGTACCGTAGATCCGATTTCCGAATCGAAGACCTCTGATCACCGTGATCTAAAGAAGGTGTCTTCGGGAAAAGACCTAATCCGGATCTCGGATTCTCGCTCCTCCCGATCTTCTCGGGAAAAAGAAATTTCTGAAGGAGGTCATAGTGCAACCTCCTCAAGGAAACGCAGGAACGAGGAATCTGAAGTTCCTTCCCTCCAACGCAAGAGTCGTTCTCGTCTGAACGAAGAGAAAAATCCTTCCGAGGATGTTGGGACTAGTCTGGGGTCAAAACCAGAAGAAAAAGAAGATCCACAACGGGCCCCGGAGTCCGACTTGCCAACTCAGCTTCTTGTCCTGCCTTCGCGGGACTCTGAGAACCGGGGATCCGTCCGTCAGGAGATTCCGATCCCCACTGGTAAGTAGAGTCACTTCGAGTTCATTTTGACGTTTTATTTTATTTTAACAGCTCCTCCGAAGTCACCAGCTGATTTCATGAGGAACTTTACTCCTGTTGGGATGAGGATTCCTCCCTTTAGTGACTTGAAGGAGGTCAACAGAGCGAACTACTTTCGCTTCGCTGATAAACTCGGAGAGGTAATTCTTTGAACTCTTCTCCTCCTTTTATAAAAATAAGAACTTTTCTTTCCGTCCTCATGAATCTTCGTTTTGACAGTTAATGCTCGAGTACAACACCACCTTCTCCTGCCACGAGTCCCAGCTCTTTCCTGTTAACGAGCTAGATGGTCTCAGGGCCCGGATCGCCGAACTCGAAGAAGAAGTCCGTCAACTCAAGGAGATGGAGGAAGAAAATGCCAGGGCGGTGGCAAAGGCAAACGAGATCCGGGAGCGAATGCTGGAGGCCGAAGGTCGCTGCAACCTTCTTGACATTGCCAAGACTGATCTTTCCGAGAAGCTGAAGATTGGGAAGAACCTGTATCTCGAGGCATGTGAAAAGATTACCTCGCTGGAAGCTGAAGTTAAGCGAAGCGAGGAATGGTGCAAGATCGCTGCTGAGAAACGGGACGAGGAGCTCGCAGCAGCGAAAAAAGATGAAAGGTTGAGGCTCCGTGAACTCTATAGCGGACTCGCCTCGAAGCATGAGACCTACTACCAGGCCATCAGTGATAATGAGATGATTGGGACGCGTCTTGCCGAGACTCGGGCGAACCGAGAACTTCTTGAGGAGATTCTGAAGGGAGAGATTCCGGATTTAAAAGCCGAACTAGAGTCGGTAAAGAAAGACGAGGAAGAGGCTGAGAAGAAAGCTCGCGAGGTAAGCGCTCTCAGACCTCAACCAAATGAGTTTGCTCATCTCTTTGTAGCGACTCCCCCAGAGCCCGTGCAAGAGACATCTCTTCCCGAAGATGATGTCGCCATTGATGAGTTCGGCACTAATAAGGGTTTCATGACTGGCCAGGACTTCGAAGCTGCCGTTCTGCCCGAGGAGATGCAGCAAGATCCCGACGTTAAGGGTCAATGATCTGGTTCCGGGGTTGTGATGGCTAGTGCCCCCCTTTGTTGTTTTTATTTTTTAAACCCAAAATCTATTTATCGTTTTTTGAAGACTTGAATATTTCCCTTCTATTTTTATATAAGTCCTTTTGAATTTTAAATCCGGAGTATTCGAGAAATTTGAATACCTCGTAAGAAAAATTAAGAAATACTTAAGATTTCAACGAGATACGCAGTTTACATGAACTCAGAATTCATCCTTCAATGGATAAGGGAAATACTAAGAACGAGAGTTAAGTGGGTGTTCTTAATATAAAAAATGAGGATCGGGACTCGGAGTCCGCAGTAATCCCTAGTCTGTGTTGAACCAGACCCTTTTTTGCTAAGAAAAACTTAGGCTTATCTTTCAAGAATTACCAGAGGTCTGAGCTCGGTTTCGAGAAAAGTAGTTACGAGGTTCTTCTCGGTTTCACGGATTGCGAGATTATTCTCGGCTTCTTTGAAAGATGTTTAGAAGAATATAAACATTTTATTTGATTTAGAGACTGCACTCAAAGTTCGAGCTGCCTACGTACCCAAAGGTGGGGATCAAGTCTATCGTAGTTCGATTTACAATAATGAAAATAATAAAATACTTAAATAAAGTATCTCTTCAGATGAATGGAATTCCAAGCTCTTCGGACTGCTTTTCCTTCCATGTTTTCAAGGCGATAAACTCCATTGCGAACTACCTGAATAATTCGATAAGGACCTTCCCAGTTCACGCCTAACTTTCCCGCTCTGTCTTCGGCTGTATTTTGCTGAACTCTGCGTAATACTAATGTCCCAACATCGAAATGCCGATTTCGGACAGTCGAGTTATAGTATCGAGCTGCGGCATTCTGGTAATTTTGCATTCGAATCAAAGCTCGATCTCGTCGCTCCTCAATGGTATCAATAACGTCCACCATCAGTTCGCTATTTGCTGCCTCGTTCTGCGGGTTATTCATCCGTCTCGGACTTGGCACAGATATTTCAGCAGGGATTACAGCCTCCATTCCATAAACTAATGAAAATGGTGTTTCACCAGTTGCACGCCTAGGAGTAGTGCGAATTGCCCAGAGAACACTATGTAGTTCATTAAACCAAGTTCCTTTGTGCGACTTGAGTTTTTTCTTCAAAGTAGACAGAACAGTTTTGTTCATTGCTTCAGCTTGACCATTACCCTGCGGATAACGAGGCGTTGATCGACTGAGTCTGATCTGCCATTCTTCGCAGAAAGATTCGAATTGCCGTGAAATGAACTGAGGTCCGTTATCAGTAACGATCTCATATGGCAAACCGTGCCTACAAATGATGTCCTGCCAAATGAACTTGCGAACTTGAACCTGAGTTATGTTTACGTAGGCTGCCGCCTCTACCCACTTCGAGAAATAATCGGTAAGTACCAAGACAAATTTCACTCCACGAGTAGAAACATGAAGAGGCCCAATAATATCCATAGACCATTTCATAAATGGATAAGGCGAAGAGACTGATGATAATGGCTCGGTGGGTTGGTGAATTGAAGGCGCATGCTTCTGGCATTGCTCGCACTTCCGCGCATACTCCTCGCAATCCGCGATTAACGTGGGCCAGAAATATCCGTACTTTCTTACTTTATAAGCCAAAGAGCGACCTCCGGACTGATTTCCGCATACTCCGTCATGAATCTCTTTTATCACAGTACGGACCTGCTGTCCGAAAATACAGATCATGTCAGGACCCGAAATTCTAGTGAGTTCGAAACTAAGAAACTTTTTACTCAATTCCTGACGCTGAGCGAGGTAAGCTTCCATTCTGCCATCTTTTGCTTCATAGTCACCGGAAAATTGATTAGCAACGAGCTGCGAGTCGCAAAATGCCCGTAATTTTGTGACACCTATCCCAACCGCTAGACGAAGTCCTACAAGGAGAGACTCGTACTCCGTCTCGTTATTCGACGCATTAAATGCGAGACAAAATGACTGTTCAATTACTTCACCATATGGGGATTGTAATCGGATACCGATCTCGGAACCCTGTTTTGAGGACGCGCCGTCCACATGAAGTATCCAAGGTCCTTCACTTTCTTTGACTTCCACGGAGTCCAGAGGTAGTTCGATCAGAAAATCTGCGAGGACTTGTGATTTCAAGCTTGTCCTTGTTCGGAACTGAATATCATACTCGCTTAGCTCAATTGCCCATTTAACCAATCTTCCTGACTGACTCGGACTATGCAAAATTGCCCTTAAAGGTTGCGTGGTTAAGATAATAACCGTATGAGATTGAAAATACGGTCTTAGTTTCCGAGCCGAAGTAATTACTGCTAGAGCTAGCTTTTCTATCATCGGATATCTTGACTCCGCTCCCGAAAAAGACTTGCTTACATAGAAAATCGGTCTTTCCTCGTTCCGATCCAATCGCACTAACACTCCACTTACTGCGCTGTCGGAAACCGATACGTACAAGAAAAGTTCTTCTCCGAACTCGGGTTTCGCTAACACAGGAGGTTTGGACAAATAATCTTTTAGATTTTTGAAAGCCTTTTCGCAACTCTCATCCCAGATGAAATTCTTGTTTGCTTTTCGGAGCAGATTATAGAATGGAAGACACCTATCGGTTGACCTCGAGATGAATCGGTTCAAGGCTGCTATCCGTCCTGTGAGTCGCTGAACTTCCCGGATGTTGCGAGGCGAAGTCATCGCCAGAAAAGCGTTCAACTGTCGCGGATTAGCTTCGATTCCCCGCTCCGTGACAATGTAACCCAAAAACTCTCCCGAAGGAACTGCAAAAGTGCACTTGGTCGGGTTCAGTTTCATTCCGAACTTATTCAAAATTGCGAAGCACTGCTCTAGATGCTCAATATGCGAAGTGCTTGATATTGACTTCACCAACATATCGTCAATATACACTTCCATCGTTTTACCGAGGAGATCTTTGAACATCATATTCACCAACCGTTGATAAGTGGCTCCGGCATTTTTCAACCCGAACGGCATGACTATATAACAGTAAGTTCCACGGTCCGTGATGAAAGCTGTCTTTTCCTGGTCTTCCGGACTCATCAAAATTTGATTATACCCGGAAAAAGCATCCATAAAGGACATCATTTCGTGGCCCGTAGTTGACTCCACAAGTCGGTCGATGTGCGGAAGTGGGAAACTGTCTTTGGGACAGGCTTTATTAAGATCGGTAAAATCTACGCAAACCCGCCATTTCCCATTTTTCTTCTTGACTATAACAGGGTTTGCCAACCATTCTGGATATTTGACCTCGCGAATCAAACCGGCATCGAGCAGGCGCTGAACTTCGGCATTTACAGCCTCGGCTCGGTCTGGACCAAGTTTCCTGCGTTTTTGTTTTACTGGTTTGAAAGTCGGGTCAATGTTGAGCTCATGCGAAATGACCTTTGTATCGATCCCAGTCATCTCCTCGATTTTCCAGGCGAAAGTTTTTTGATTCCTTTTTAGGAAAGTTATCAGTTCGGCTCGGAGAGTTTCGCTTAATCCCGCTCCTATTCTCACAGTTTGATCTGGATACTCCTCATTAACTACCACTGCCTCAACGAGGTCACTGCTTATTTTTTTGACGGGATTTGCAGGCACCTCGAACTGTGGTTGCTATTGAATTTTAAGCTTATGACTGGACATGTAACACATCCTCGCAGCTCGCTGACTTCCCAGGATTTGCTTTACTCCGGACTTCGTAGGGAATTTCAAGCATTGATGATACGTTGAAGGTACTGCTTTCATCTCATAAATCCAGGGTGTTCCCAAGATAACATTATAAGCAGCCGGACGATCGAACACCGTGAACTCAATCATTTTGACTATGCCTTCTGCGCATACCGGGAGCACAATCGTTCCTAATGACATTGAAGTTTCGCTAGTAAAGGAAACCAAAGGAGATGGTGGCCCCCTTATATCTTGCTTCGATATCCCCATTCTTGTCAGAGTATCGAGGAAAATTAA